GCAGATTTTTAAAATAATTTCTATAAAAATGTTCTTTAAATTAATTAAAAAGTTCAGAAGTTCACTTGCTACTAGGTTCAAGTTTTTGGAAAAAAAAGGAAGATTTACTTAACTCAAATGAGGATTATGAATTTGTGACCGCAAATTTATTAACTTTGACTCTAATTTATTTTATTTAAAATTGAGCAATTGTAAAATATGATTTTTGGAACTATTAAATATTAAATGTGCAGAAGGAGGGAATAGCCAACCCGCAAAGTATTTGATCAAAAATCTGCTAGAGTTTAAGAGCTAAAATTAGGGATTTCGGATTTGGATAAGATTCAAATAGAATTATTAATACACAGTCAGTCAGATGACTAACTGTGGCAAAATTTAACTTTCTTCCTACGTAATGTACCGTCTCTATATTAGCCCTTATAGATCGTGTCGTAAACCCACAAGGCTTGTGACAGTCACAAAAAGGATCATATTAAACAGCAAAGATCTGCACATTGGGGTATAGACAGAAGCGCAGTCGTCAAGAATGCAGTCGCTCTATAAAAATCTCTGTAACGTTAGAACAAGAGCATTATTACTTTTCTAAGATTCGTATGGAGAGAGAGAAGAGTGAAAAATTGTAAGTTCAGAAAGGAGCAAAAAAGATAATTTCTATTTTTTTGAAATTCATCTTTTTTATGCGATCTTTGACATGTACTTATTGTTTATCGTAGCTTTTAGTTGTTTTTTTTTCAAAAGCTTTGAAATGCACCAGGAAAAAAGACAGAAAGGCAGGAAACTCATCTGCTAATCTCACATAGGCGACAAATTGGTCCTAAAAGTTTATTTGATGTCTGGCAGCAGCGGCAGCAGCGGCAGCAGCGAGTGTTCGGGATTTAGCCGAGAATATGTTGCAGTGCGCGCCGCCCTATCCCACTTGGCATAAACCACATGGAGGGCGTGACTGACTGAGAAGAAGGGCTGATGCCAAGAAATATGTAGCGACCGATTAGCTGCGATTCGCAAGCGATAGCGATGCGATTCATAGCGAACGAATCGCTTTAGTGCTAACCTCTTTTAGAAAATATTTGAGAAATCAAAAATTCTAAAGTTCTTGTTTTTTTTAGCATGCGGAATGAGACATGGGGAGATACTCCAATCAAATATTTTTTGGTAACTTAAGAGATAAAATAAACATCTCCTTTTTTATAACTTATCCTGCTTGAAGACCTACCTTTGATCGTAAGACACGTATGATCGTATGCTTTGAGAAAAGAAATTTGAGTATCAAATCAAGTGAGTGAGTGAATGAATGAACGAATGAATGAATGAATGAGTGAATGAATGAATGAATGAATGAATGAATGAGTGAATGAATGAATGAATGAATGAATGAAT